GCTTCAACGTGCTCAAGGTCACCAAGGCTGCCGGCACCAAGAAGCAGTTCCAGAAGTTCTGAGGCTGGACATCGGCCCGCTCCCCACCATGAAATAAAGTTATTTTCTCATTCCCAGGCCAGACTTGGGATCTCTGTGCCTTTACCAGAGCACTGGGGGGATGGGGGTGTCCCTCGGGGAATTGAGCAAGGCTGCTGTCAGGCCTCCTGCCCGTGTCTGTGGGTGAGGACAGTGGAGCCTGAGATGCCTGTCTTCCCCTGGGTCTCCTTTTTTGGTCCTTGTCACCTTTTTGGTGTGTGAATAAGGCTGATTACCTGGTGTGCTGTCCTCCCGCGTCACCTTTTTGGTGTCTGAATAAGGCTGATTACCTGGTGTGCTGTCCTCCCCCGCCCTCCGGTCTCTGGGGAGGAAGTGAGTGAGGGCGGAGGCCCCTGGGTCCTCCAGGCCCTGGTCTGTCTCTTTCCTGACCACCTCGGGTGGGGGGGAGGGGAAGCTACAGCCCGCCTGCTGTGGGCATGGGCTCACCCAAGTAGAGTGCGATGTGCTGAGTCCCTGTTGTCTGGCTGTGAACTGTAAAGCTCTTGACTTCAGCCTGGGCTTCCTATCCTTGCTTATAGCCAAGGAGGGGGCCCCATGCACCCACCACCCACTCCTAGTTGGGCACCATGCCTATTTGCATATGAGGAAAGTTACCTGGGAGAGGCCAAGTCCTCCACCTGGAGTCCCAGTGAGTAGCTGAATTCCAGATCTCAGATTCTAGAAACTTCCTTTGCACCGGCTGCCTCAAAATCGAAGTAAGGAGATTGGTGGTGTGGGCAAGTGGCATCATGACGCTGCCCTGGAGCCCGCTCAGTGGCACCGGGGCCCAGGCTGCTGGGAAGGAAGTGAGTAGGAAGCGCCCGGAGATGGCCCAACACCCAGGAGCCACAGAGATGGGGGCCTTGGGAGGAACAGGGCAGGACAGACACGGTGGCCCAGGGTTGTGGCACATGGGGAGGAAGGGTTTTGCAGAGCTGGGGAGAGCACAGAGACCACCGGGAGAGGCAGGTACGATAGAAACAGGTGCACTTTGCGCATCACAGAGGTGGGATGACAGGCGTGGAGGAGGGGGGCAGCAAGGCAGGAGCACACCAGAGGGTCTGTGGGACCCAAAGGGGAGAGACCTGCATCAAAGCAGCAGCAGAGATGGGGGTACAGGGAAGGGAGGTCTGAATGCCTGCTGACCTCTTTCGGGCCTGCCGGTGCCGGGGTCCCCAGGTCCCTGTCCCCCAGGCCTGTACCAGGGTCTGAGCCCAGCACTGGTACAAGGGTTGGGAGACAGGGCCATGGGGAGAGGAGCCGCCGCTGCCGCTGCTGTCTCGGGGACGCCGCCTCCCCGTGGGCCCAGTCCCTGCCTTATACCCAGGTCCAGAGAGGGCGGGGGTTCCTGCCAGAGGAAGTGGGGCCGCATCAAAGAGGGCAGGAAGGGGCAGGGACAGGTTGGGGGGACGCCGCCCTGAGTCGCAGAAACTGCACACCCACCCCACCCTATGCTGGGGGCAGTAGAGATCCAGAGAGGGGCAAAGGGGGAGTGTGGACTCCAGAGGGAGGGGACGGAGACCCAGAGGGGGATGGGAGGTCACGGCCCCCTCCCCTCGGCCGCAGGTGTTTCCGTTCGGGTGGGGCGGCTGTGTTTACAACAACAGCCCGGCTCCCCGGTTTCCTCCTCGATTGTTGGGGCGTCTCCTTGGCACCCCATTGCGTCAGGTTGTGTGCTGGGGTCAGAGTGTGTGCTGGGGAGGGACCTCTGCTGGGCCTGGTGGATGCAAAGACCAAGTTTAAAAGACCCCCTGGAACCCCTCGACAGGCCTTACACCTGAAGAGTGGGGATAAGGACTATAGGTTCTTTTCATTTTTTAATTTTATTTTGTTTTTGAGGCAGAGTCTTGCTCTGTTGCCCAGGCTGGAGTGCAACGGCACAATCTTGGCTCATCGCAACCTCCGCCTCCCAGGTTAAAGCCATTCTCCTGCCTCCATCTCCTGAGTAGCTGGGTTTACAGACGTGCGCCACCACACCTGGCTAATTTTTAAATTTTTAGTAGAGAAAAATTTTAGTAAATTTTTCACCATGTTGGCCAGGCTAGTCTCAAACTCCTGACCTCATGATCCACCTGTGTTGGCCTCCCGAAGTGCTGGGATTACAGGCATGAGCCACCATGCCCGGCCAAGAGAAACTATTTCTTAGCCCAAATATTCGTGTGTCATAGTTCAGGAACAAGTCAGTGACAAACTTCTAAGTAATTCAACCTGAAGAAATTCTTTATATTCCAAGATAATTGCACTCTGAAAGATACCAGCCTTCCGGCCAGGTGCAGTGTCTCACGCTTGTAATCCCAGCACTTTGGGAGGCCAAGGTGGGTGGATCACGAGGTCAGGAGTTCAAGACCAGCCTGACCAAGATGGTGAAACCCCATCTCTACAAAAATTAGCTGGGCATGGTGGCAGGCACCTTTAATCCCAGCTACTC